TGTTGTGTACCTCTTCGCTCCCCCCCCCACAGAACCCGTAACGGGCTCTGTGGCAGGAAGGTACAGCCACACCGTGGTGCGGCGAGGTACTCACCCAGGACAGGGATGAGGGGCAGTGCCCTCTTTGCCTCGGGAGGGACTGCTTGACCACTGCACAGAAGAAACACTTCAGCCACCAGGCCACTGCCCAGGTTTGTTCCCATTCCCTCCTCACCACCACCCCATCTTGTTCAGTTTAATAAGCAGTGGGACAAAAAAAAAAAGGCAGCGATCTCCCACAGAGCAGCACAGCTTCAGCAGAGCTGCCCCACAGCCAGCAGGACAGCACCCTGACACTTTTAACCCCCTGAGAGGGAACTAGAAGGCCCAACTGCAGGCCTTGGGCACACCTGACAAGCGTTCCAGTGCCCAACCCCCTTCAGACATATTATACCACAGCCTTTAAGTGGCCAGAAGCCTCAGAAAAAAACCACCAGATGAAGCAGAAGGGCAGCGTGGCTCCAACTGAGTTGATTCACTTCTTTCGGAGGCAGCAGGTTCAGGCCACACAGCGGATCACACACAGGCTGCAGCAGACACCTGCCCTGTCCAGAGGCTCAGGGTGCCAGTACCTCATCTCATTTTGGTACCAGCTTTAACTTCCCCCCAGCTCCCCACACCCTGAAGCACCACAGCTCCTCAGGAGCGAGGAAGGCTCAGGCACAGAGCTGGAGGTACAGCGCTGCACCACAGACGTGCTGGAACTTCACTATTCTCTACATTAGCAAGAGCAGAGTTTGGCAGCCTCTAACCCAAGCAAGTCCGGCCTTACTGGCAGCTGCGCTCTGACCCTAGCCTTTGCTTTAAGCAGACCACTCTACTGCTCTGCTCACAAACCCAAAGGCTCGGTGGCATCATACAAGCATCAGCACTCTTGAGGCCCCCTGGTTTTGTGGGGGAAAGCTGAGGACATCAGGACAGGCTGAATTTGGGCCCATCCCCAGCGCAGCACCTACCCCTCCGGGAGGGTCACTGTGAGGGAGTGGAAGCCCCGTAGCCCCTAGAACCTTTACAAAAGGCAAATGCACGCATGCCAGTCGGGCAGGGAGATCTGTTTATTAAGTAGGGCTGTGCCGAGATGCTGTAGATGTGTCGGGGAGGCCCAGAGAAGCCCCGGGAGCTTCTAGCGACAGCCTCATCCTCCCGGCGCTCAGTCCAGCTGCAAGAGAGCGAGAAAGGCGAGAGGCGTCAGCGGGAACCGGCACACCCGCGTCCCCCCCGCACAGCCCCGGGGCCGGCGCTCACCTTAATGAAGCCGATGTCCTTGGCGTACTGGCGGAAGCACTGCC